TGAATTGTTTCCTCCTGCAGCTTACCTGCTGATTCTCATGAGTTTAATGAAAGCGCTGCATTGAAGTCGTGTTCTCTCTCCTCTGCTTCCTAAAATTCACAAAATTTTTCTGTTGACATGTTAAGGTCACTTGCCATCTTCTTTTTCAACCAGCTCTTTTCTGCTGTTTGGTACAAATCTAGAAGCCTGTCTTTTCATTGCTTTCCCTAACTACCTTTTCTATTAAAAAAATGTCCCCAGTTCCTCTGCAGCCCGCTCCCACTGGGTGTTTGGATATTGGGGTAGCCTGCCACCGTCAGTCCTTGGCTGTATCCCGTGTGCTGCAGTGATGCATCATCCACCTCAGTGTCGTGGCTTCGTTCTCCATTCTGTTCTGACCAGGTCAACGCTCCAGTTGTAATTTTTATCCTAGATCAATACTTCAGCCTCTTTCCAATCCGTTCCTCTGCAGCCCGCTCCCACTGGGTGTTTGGATATTGGGGTAGCCTGCCACCGTCAGTCCTTGGCTGTATCCCGTGTGCTGCAGTGATGCATCATCCACCTCAGTGTCGTGGCTTCGTTCTCCATTCTGTTCTGACCAGGTCAACGCTCCAGTTGTAATTTTTATCCTAGATCAATACTTCAGCCTCTTTCCAATCCCTTCTCTTACACCTTTCAGTCGTTGATAATAGACGTGTGTAGGAATTTCAGCTGCTGCCAGGGAGCCGCTCAGTTTCCCCGTGCTTTCTCCCCGGCACAGTTGTTTATACCCGTCTGGAGTTGCTTGTGCTCTAGACCCATGGCAACTGTTTGCTCCTGTAATTCACCTTCATCTTTCCATCCTCTTTCCCGTGCCTTCCCATTTACGATGCATTTCCCACAGTAAGATATCTCCTTCACCTCTTTCTCACTTTCCTTTTTGTTTGTCCTGAAGACTTCTCTCTTAAATGGAGCAAGTCTGTGATTATTCATTGGTAGAAGAACAGGGAAGGACTTTTTTTTTTTAAGCTTGCTTCTGATGGTGACTCTGCATGTCATACCTCCTTTAATTTTCCAGCTCTTGAGGTGTTAAGATCTAGAGGTACATTGGGGATTTCTTCAGTTTAAGAGGTACAGGAGGCAGCTCACAGTTGGGAAGATGAGGGAAGTTCCTCGGTGAGAGGTGACTCTGGGCAGAAGCCCGTCATGGTGCTCGGAATTTGCCTCTTCTGGGAAGAGCTCTCAGCTGACTCTGGGGCAGAGCTCCCTGGGCAGAAACGAGCTGTTGAATCTGGCCTTTCTGCTTTCCCTTCTCCCTCGAATGTGTTCTCAGTGTTGGACTTTCATGGAGATTTCTGGGTCTGAGAGTGTCTGGGGAGGGAGAAATTAGAGGGAGAAATATTGAACTTGTCAGATGGAACTGGAGTGTTATCATCAACTTAAATTTATGGTTAATCTTACCGAAATCGCCTGCTCTGCCCTCAAAATCCACGACCTGCCCAGAATAACAAGTTGGTTCAGAACCTGAGGGCGGTGGTTTGGAAGCTCCAATGGAGTTTGATGGTTGAGGTTTTCCTAAAGTTTGCTTATTAATTTTATTCTTTCCCCCCCCCCCCCCCTTTTTCCCCGTCTCCACCAAGTCTTCCATCCTGTGGAGTGTTCGTATTGCCGGTGCGAGAGCATGATGGGGTTCCGGTACCGATGCCAGCAGTGCCACAACTACCAGCTCTGCCAGAACTGCTTCTGGCGTGGCCATGCCAGCGGCACTCACAGCAACCAGCATCAGATGAAGGAGCACTCCTCCTGGGTAACTCGCCTTTGCTTCTCGTGCTGAAACAACCGTGCTGTGCTAATTTCTTCTGAAAGTTAAAACTTTTCTCGTAGAACTGCACAGTAGGACTTGTAAAGGTTTTTAAATAGCAGAAGTGTATAACTAGGTAAACTGTTCTGGTTTTGTTACGAGTGATGTTGATTTGTTGATGGTTGTGATTGTGTCTGGTGCTGTTTAAAGCCTTAACACGTGTTTTCTTCCCCTCTTCCCATCAGTCCTGGTTTTCTTATATTTTCCTCTCTTCTAGCTTAGAAGGGCTTAAAGGTTGCAATACCTTTCCTCCCCAGAAGGGTAAATGAGTCAGCATGAAAGCTGAGCTTGGAAAGGAACTTTATCCTAGTGGCATCTTTAAAGATAGTATTTGATATTGTCATTGTCCTGAGAATTGTAAATATATACATTGAAAGCTCTTAACTAAAAAATCTTGACTGAATGTTATTTCTCGCATAGTTTTGTTAGAGGACTATGTGATAATCACATCTCAAGAAATAATAGAGAACTTTAGATGTAAAAGCCTATTTTATGGCAAAAAGATTAAGCCCAACCTTTTACTTATTCAGAGAGAAATTCAGATGATGATTGGGTTATAATTAGTAATTATCTTCACGAGGAAGAGTCATTACAGTGTTACTGTTTAATTTAGAAAAGGGAGACTCAATGCCATTCGGTAGTTAGAAGGTGAAGACAGGACAATCTGGTGATAAATATTGTCCCTTGTTTAAACTATCATCTCCTGAAGTGTATAAATCCAGTCTGGATTTTTTCATACAAAGACGTCTCTAGAGAGTAACTCCAGCTCTAACGTGGAGATGTCCTTCTGAAGTCTCTACCTGTGTTTGCAGCGAGCCGGGTGGATGGTCTGTGCCCGGTCCTGGCACTGGGATTGTGAGTCTGTCGTCCCGCCTGGTTTCAGTTGAGACTTTTGAGGCATTTGAGCCATAGCGAATACCTTGATTTTAAGGCACAATGTGGATGGAGGAGTGGGAAGTTATGTGCATGGAGGATATTCGGACTATCGCTCTTGGGGTGAAGGAAACGGTGCCGGTCGCTGCATGATCCGAGCTGCAGGACTGCCGGAACATCCCTGGCTCGAGCGTGGACCCAGCGGCTCCTAGGGTGAGGTCTGGGAGTTGGCGCAGGTGAGGAGCCGTGCCTGTCGACACCCTGCTGGGGAGATGAGGAATTCCCGTTATCTGCCGTCAGGAGCAGGTGGTGGCTCTGGGACCGTTCCCTTCCGGACTCTTCACGGAGAAGAAGAGGGAATTGCACATACAGAAGCAACACTAAACAGGGCACAGAACTGGAGGTAGAAGATTACTGGAAACAGCAGAAGATACTGGGAAACAGGTTTTACAGAACAAAAGGAAAGAATGAATGAAAGAGAATAATGATGGTTGGGAACCTTGAAAGAGACGAGAGTTTAATGTCTTCTCTAATGAAAACGCTGGTAGATAGAAACCATTGGCCCAGAAGTCCATAGAAGGAATTTTAGCAGCAGCAAATTTGGTGCCTTGAACCAAAACAAGATGTAACTCAGGCAAGTAAGAAACTGGAGCAGCAGGTGAAGTGGAAGGACCGCTTTGAGAAGGTGTGTGTGTAGGAGGATGGTGCAGCGCAGCTGTGGAGCTCTGCCCGGACAGGAGCCAGGCGAATGAAAGGCGTGAGGAGGGGAGGAGATATTTACATTTCTTGTTCAGCATAGTCAGAATGCAGATCAAGGAAAGATGGAATCAAGAGGCTAAAGGTTGGCTAAAGGTGAAGCAAAGACAAAAGATGGAAATCAGGAGAAAAGTGGAGAAATTAGAGGGACTTCAGTAAACACTAAGGCAATCCTAAGGAGCATTTATGCTCCTGTAGTCTAAAGTAGTATTTCTGGCTCTAGCTCTAGAAGCCTGTTTCTGAGCCTTTTTAAACGCTTGCTGGGTTTTTAACCAACCAAGTGTTTTAAATGGACTAAAAAAATTCATCTAGATATAAAATACTGCTACAGGCTGGGCTGGCTCCTATAAGCTGAGCATGGAAGAGGGATCTCTTAAGAGAGAGGTCTCTTATGTATTTTTTATTTTATTTTTATTTATTTTATTTTTTAACTTTTGCAAGTCTTGAGTGTTAATTTTATGAAAATTTAAAATTAGTCTTACTTTTGAAAAACATAGCTTGGTTTGGGATTTGGACTGTATTACTGCTGAGTAAAGGACAGCTGAGGAAATCCGTCAGCTGGTGAGGCCGGGGAACCTCAAGTGTCATCTTCACGTTGGTCTTCAGAGGGACCCTTCTGCCTTCATCAGCTGGGCGACTGGTGCTGCTGGTGCAGGGCAACGGGTCCCGCTGTCCACTTCTGCGGATTAGCTGGTACTCCAATACAACGAAAAAATGAATTTTATTTTTCCTGAGTTTGCAGTCCAGCCAGGTCTAGTTCAGGCTTGTCTGGTGTATTTTCAGAGTTTTGGAGCCCTAAGACCCAGAGTAAGCTTCGGTAATAAGTATTTTCATAAGGTTCTTTCTCCTGAAGTTCTGAAGTGCCTTTGATAATTTTTTAATACTATAAATCACACAGTATTGTGATAAAAAAAAAAGATATAATGCTATAGTGATTTATATATATATGCGTGTGTGTTAGTTCAGGTAGAAACCTTTTTCTGAAAGAGAGGTTTTGCTGCATGAGCACACTGCTTGCTGGGGCCTGTTTCTGAGGGGAAAAACCAAACAACTTCAAAGACTTTGCAAATTTTCCCTTCTGGGCTATTTCAATTTTGTTTTTATTAAATGGCTTTAAACAGTAATTAATTTAGTTATGTACACACAGCAGAACCGAAAATTATTCGTTTTGAAAGCGTATAGATTAGTCATTGTTCGTTCTGTTTGTTTATTTTTTTTCTCTAGGCTGCTAAACTTAAACAGTCTCTGTCATCTATAAATTTCAGGTAAAATGTTGAAAGAGCCAAGATCCCCTAAAGGCTTATCCCCCAGGGTGGAAGTTTTGATGGCTTATTATGGACTGCAGTTGGGCTGGAGCGCTCTTCCTGCTATAAATAATGGAATGTTTGTTATTTATAACCCCCCGGAACACGGTGCCTTTGCAGCGTGGATCATCAAGCCAGACAAACGTTTCGTTGTTTCTATAGCGATAATATCTGTGGCTTCCTTTGGGAAGTCATTACGCCGGGTACTAATCAAATCTGGAAGAAAAGACAGACCCTCTTATCTGCCCAGTTAAAGGCTGGCAATACTGTAAGTCACTGCTAATAGGATTCTGCTCTCAAAATGACATCTCTTATATTCCTGCTTCATTTCGTTTCCCGTTTAGTCTGCCTTAAAGTTATTAAGAATTTTCGAACATGTTTTTATCCAGTCCCCAGAAAGAAGGCGAAGGGGAACGCAGCATTAACGAGTGTGCTCTGCATCCCCGGCACGCCGCGGGCTCCTGCCAACCCATGGGCTCCTGGCTGCAGATGGGTGGAAAACCCTCCGGCTCCACCTCGGCGCGTTCCAGGGACGGGTGGTGGCCTGGACATCGGGGTGACCCGCCACCCCTCTGCGCTGGGCTGGGGGCCGGCGCCGTGCTTCAGCTTCCCCACGGGCGTTACACCCGCTTCCCTTCCCACGTCGTCTTCTTTCTGCTTCCTCCGCTTGGCTGCTCGGCACAATTCCTCTCCTGGGAGGAGAGGGAAAGTTCTCTGTGCACTGGGCTTTGAAAATTATTTCTTTTTTTACCCATTTTGGGTATAGAAGGAGGGTGGATGTGCTGCCTTCCTGCCTGTTTGCACCCTGTGTGCTTTACCGTTGTGATATTACAAGTGACAGCAGTAAAATGGGGCAGATGCTGGGGGAATGGAAGAGAGAGAACCAGATAACTTTAAAACCTTAATTTTCAAACAAGTGTTCTTGACAACCAAATTCCAAATTCAATTTTTATTGCGTACAAATTTCTGAGCCCATTGCAACGCTTGCTGACTAGAGCCTTTGGGTAGAGGTGGATGTGGTTTTGTCAGTAGACACCATATAGGTAACTAGAAGGTAGAAAGACAATATTTGGTGATGTAGTTTGTAGTTTCCAGTTTTTTAATTCCATGATGGAAGTATGTTTTTATTTTAACAGGTAGGAAGGCAGGTGGGCAGAGGCGGGGGCTGTAAACCCTTCTGAGGGGAGAAGGAGCTGCCACTACACCGTATAGATGCAATAGGTTTTCAGATACACGGAGCAACATCACAGCTGCATTTCACTGCTAATTTCTCACCTCTTTTGCACCATATAACACAGGTTTTCAGTGTTATCTGTCAAAGACACACCAGTTTTCCCAGCAGGAAGCGCTCAGTGCGTGTGCATTTGATGCCCATACCCCAGCCGCGTGCGTTTGGACGGATCCAGGCGACTCCCAGGGCAGCGCTGGTCCGGCTGCCGGCGCAACGCGGGTTTGCCTGCGCTCGGTGAAGAACGTGCAGAACCAGCACTTGCCGTGCTTTGGTGGGAGGTGCCTTTGCAGTGTTTCCTCATCTCTCAGGACAGCAAGCCGAAGCCCTGCTGTGGGAGAACGGGCGCAGAGCAGCGCTTCCAGCTGCCAGCAGCGGCCACGTCTCGCTGGCGGGCAGAGCCGGAGCCCGCGCAGGGCAGCGCTGTGCTGGCATCTGCCTCCTGGGTCCCTGGGGAAAATCAGTTGAACTGTTGTTCCTTGTACTTAAAATGACTTTATAGAATTTATTTATTTTATTTATTATTTATAGAATAGTTGCACACTTACGCAGGCATCACTATGTAGGTTTTATTTTGTTCATGCTTTATTTATAGCTAAGTGGGGTAGGAACCTGCTTGTTTATTAAATGAAAATCCAGGATCCAGGACAGTCCTTGGCTGATGCATTGGTGATACATTCACTGGAATAACCAGACCCCCCAAGTCTGGTTTGCATTTGATTCTGGGGGTGAGGGCCACAGGGAGAGCGATTCAAGGGTTAATAGGAAAGGGGTTTTAACGATATACAGGCGATATATCAAACCACCTGAGAGCGACAGTGCAGGGCAGGGGCTCCTTCAGCTTTCTCTGTTACAAAAGAGAGCAAACATTCCAGCCTCTCAGAAGCATTTATTTTACTTTTTTTTTTTTCTTTTTTTTTTTTGAGCTTTCTCTGGAGCCTGGAGAAGCCAGATGTGCTGGCTGGTAGGCAGACACTGCTTTGGGTCGTGAACGCTGTGTTTGCTGCTGGTGCTGAGCTGCGATGGCAGCGCTGAGGAATGCAGCTTAGCGCCGCAGGAGCTGCAGCAGTGTGCGTCCCAGCCAGTGCCGGCCCTGCAGAAAAAAGGCTTTTGTAGCATTGCCCTGATCTGGCCAGACCTCCGTGTCCTGTGCAGCTGAAAAATTTATTAAAGTGTGTCATCTAGAAAGTGGAGAAACAGTTCCAGATAGTTCGTGCAGAATTCGGTAGCTGCCTCTGAGCTTCAGGGGTGCTTTTTGGGAAATCCCAAAATGTAAATGCCCAAAAGGAAGGAGATCCACCGGGATCCACGGTAACTGCAAAGGAGCTTCATTGATTCCTTAAACACTTATGGGGGCAAACATTTCTCAGAAATTTAATTATTCTGTGCGTGATGAGAAAGAAACAGAAACTGTTTGTTTTTATTACTTCTTGATAGACTTGCAAAAAGGTAAGAGTCCTCCGCCGATAGGTCTGGGTATGTAAAAGGCTGAGAGATTTTTTTCTGAAGAAGGAATCTCAGAAGGGCTGTAAAATTTAAAAAGGTTTGTTGTGCTGGAAAGCTGGAGCTCTGCAAGAGGAAGCTCCTGCATTCAGAACTGCACCGCACTCCCGAGCCAAACCAGTACCTGCCTCTCATGAGCCTTTGGGAATAATGCAGGAAACACCTCTCATCAGTGGGGTGGCAGTGGGGTGGTCGGTAACAGGGGAAAGAAGGTTGCTGTATGACTTAACATTTTGGAGAAAAATGAAAAACATGATTTCCTGGGTGCAGGACGGCTGCTGAAACGCTGTGTCGGGGTAAAGAGCGCGTGTTCAATGGAGGTGCCTGCCTCTTTTTGGACCATCAGCCACACCTGCCATCAGGCTGATCTGCCACCGCCGCGCAAATCCTGCTGCGTCGCGCACCGTGCCCGTTTAGGAAGCAGAACAAGATGGACTGAAAGCCTGCTCGCCGTCCCCGGAGAGCCTGCTGGGCTGGGCAGAGCGGGGAGCTGCCGGCTGGTCGCCTCTGCAGCAGGAGGAATGTCGAGGGGTCGCAAGCCTCTGAGAATAAAGGCACAGCGGCCTGTGTTCCCATCGAGATCTGAAGAGAAACAAGTCCATGAACTGAATTCTAGGATGTGTGAAACATTTTTCAAAGTCTGAAATTCTTTATTTCAGAATAAAATAAAGAGTTGAAATTTATCGAAGTCCAGTTGTGACGGGAGTTACAAAGACTTCATCAAACACAGTTTGTCCCCAGCTGTTTAAAAGTACAGATTGAAATCGAGAGGGAACAAGAAGAAGGGCTGGGGAGGAAGAAGGTGGTAAAAATACAGCGGTGCTGGTGACGGGCAGGGGGCTGGCGGTACCGGGCGCTGGGGAAGGGACTGTGTTATTTGTGCGTCTGCACTGGTGGCGGTGGGTGAGAGATGATGTTACTCTGGAGCTTTCCATTTGGGTTTTTTTTTCTGCTTTTTTGAAGGGGAGAGTATCCTGTCTTTGCAAAGGTGCTTACAGATGACATCAAACGGGGTGGGGGGGGGAGGTCAAGATCCATGACGATGAGAGAGAGGTGGTTTTTGTTGGGAGTCTCTGAAGTAGAACTCAGCTGGCTGAAAGGAAAGCCAGCTGTTTCTCGGGGAGACGGGATCCCCAGGAGAGGTGCGCGTGCCCGTGGAGCAGCGGGCTCGTTCCTCCTGCTGCGCTCCTTTCGCAGCATTGGCACAAAGTTGGGATCCATGGAAATTATCTTTCCCCTGTAATCTTCAGACAGTGAAGCTGCAGCAGTGGCTCGATCGTGCAGCCTTCGAGGCAGGGCTGCGTTGGTTTGACAAAGTAAACGGTGGGGTAGCACAATGGGGTGTGGTGTTTGTTACCACCATGGAAATAAAAAACCCTTTAAAACGGCTTCAAAATACTGCAGAGAGGAGGTCACGGCAAAGGCATGCTGGGAATGGACAGGCTGTGCAGGAACCGAAGGGTGGAGAGAGTGAAGTGGGAAATACTCTGAAAGGAGCCGTGGTGGGGAGCAAATTGAGAGAGAAACAGACGTGGAAATTCTCAACCTGCGGAATTAATTCAGGAAAACTAGAATTTTACTTTTAATATCATGATGCTTGTGTGTATCATTTAAATTTTATTGTGGATGTGGTAGGAATTAATATGAAGATTGGATTGTGGTTTTCGTAGGATTTCAGAACAATTAAAGGCTGATGGTCTGTAGAACCTTTCAGAGCAACAGGGCCGTGCACTTCAGCACTGTTCTCAAGGACCATCCGCTGATGGCGATCTACCAGGTTTTCTCAACACATTAAAAAAAAAAAAAAAAAAAAAAAAAAGAAGGAGGAAACCCATTAGCTTGCCACCAGTCAGTCTTTTGAGCAGTTGCTGTTTGGTGACTCAGGAAGCTGGAGTGCTTCTGCACGTGCGGTGGAACAGAGCTCCCTATGGGAGACGCGCCCGAAGCAGTTCATTATCTTGCCATCCTTCCTACCGAGCCCTTCTTGGGCAGAGGAGATGAGGATCTTACACCCACCAGCAGGTTTTTGCCGTGGCTCTTTGCACAGCCAAGGGTGCTGGGTTGGGAGGATCCCCGCCCGTTCAGCCGGCACCGGGAGGGCGTTGGGTGGTGGCTCTCCATGGCCATGGCGCGTCCTGCTGCTCCGTGGGCTGGGTCTGTGGGCTGAGGAAGAAAAATTCCAGAATCTGGAAGGAATTAGGCTGCAATATATTGAATAGTTGGTTTAATTAGTGGAACAGGATGGTTTTAACATGGTGCCCAGGCCAGGGTACGGGCTGTAAAGCGGCGTTAGGTGCTGATGGAGGCGTGTCATCTTGCGTCTTCTCTGCCGTGTACTCCAGGGAAGAACATGGCCATGAGTAATTCTTTTTTTTTTTTTTTTTTCCCCAAGACTACATTCATCAGGAATTCAGAGGCAGCCTCCATTCATGGTTTTTAGAGTTCTGTTAGCCCTGACTTTGAGCTGTAAGGTAATTGAGGGAGGATAATAAACCTTCCGTTAAGAGCCAGTGGTCCCGGTGTGTTCTCACAGGCGTCCCGCTCATCTTTCCTTGCTCAGTCAAAAGGACATTGTCTTTTTCCCTTCTTTTCCAACTGATGTCAGTATTTTCCTTTGTACTTAAAGCGCATCCCAATGTACCGCAAACAGTAAATTCCCAGAGGGAACGGCTTCCTCGTCTCCACGCCGCACAGCCTTTATTGCCTGGGTTATGTTGCTGAACCCAAGAGGTCCAGGGTGAAGATTCCCACTGGTTTACTAATCACTAATTGTTTATTTCATTGTCAGTAAATAGTAGTAATTGTTAATAATTGCTCGTTACTAATTTATGTTAACTGTAACTGTGTGTAACTCTTGTCCTGGGTAACCTTGCCTGGTATTTAAATCAGTGTTAATCTGAATTTTAATTTGAATGTGCCGTGAGAATTGGTCCTAATTCTGCTTTGGAATGTCTTACAGGAGTAGTGAAAAAATGAAGTAGGAGTAATTAGCCTCTAGGTTACACATCCACGGACTGTTAGTGAGTTAGGTCAGAAAAACAGAGCGGGCAGGTTCTTCTGAGCTCTCATAAAAGCGTTATCTGGCCTCCCACATCGCTGGCATGAGTTCAGTGGGTATAATAACACTTAAAGACTTAATTCTGTGAGTCAGCGCTGGGCTTAGACCGCGTTTGAAGCGTGTGACTCAGGCCAGCCGTCCGTTCCTGGGTGTTTGGCAGCACTCGTCACCAGCCGTGCGCTCTTCCCTAAATGATCCCAGACAGTTGCTCCTGCGAGGTTAGTTACCACGGCCCGTGCATTTGGGAAAGAAAACAAACTGGTCTTTCGTATCGAATCCTGGAGTGGTGTGGGTGGGAAGGGACCTTAAAGCCCACCCAGTGCCACCCCCTGCCATGGGCAGGGACCCCCCCCACCAGCCCAGGTTGCCCAAAGCCTCATCCAACCTACATCTGTCTGAACACTCTGCTTCACCTTGGCTTTGCCCATAATGAATAAAAACATTTGGAAGTTGTCTTTCAAAAGCAATTGCCTTTGGAAAGGAGAGAGGGAGGGGGCACAGCACTGATCACTATCGATGGAAACGAAAGCAGTGCCGGCAGCCGAGGAGTCTGTGTGCAGGTTATGTACCTGCTCCAGGTCCTTGTCCCCCTGCCCTCCCCTCAAAGCACAATGCCTGCGTTCGGAAACCCATGGGAGCGCGTCTGATAAATCATCCCTGAGCTGGGTGTGATGGCCCCTTGATTGAATCCCCGTTAGGAACACCAGGCAATTGGTTTATTTCCTGATCTTACTTTTGTTAAACTGCTTTTGGTTTTCAATATTGTAGCACCAAAAAAAAAAAAAAAAACCCTCAACAAAACTTGTTCACCTGGGTGATTTCTCTGGTATGGCATAATGTAAATGGATATTTCTGAATATTCCAGTACTGCGCATTTTTTTACACTCCCCTGTTACCCGATTGCACGTACTACCCTCTCTTCAGAGTACTCATCTCACATTTGTCGTTCTTTTCCCAAACAGAAATCACCTGCAAAGAAGCTGAGCCATGCAATCAGTAAATCGCTTGGTTGCGTACCGAGTAGAGAACCACCTCGTCCTGTCTTTCCTGAGCAGCCAGAAAAGCCCCTCGACCTTGCACACATCGTGTGAGTACCTGTTTTATTCTGTTTACCCCCAATCAGTGGCACACAGCCAGGTGTTGGCAGCTGCACCAGCCTTTGCAATGGGCGAGCACAACGAGCCCTTAGGTTTGAATTCTGGAGTTGCAATGCTGTAAATGTTGTGTTTCTCTGAAAAATTATTTGAAACATGCTGTTTTGTTAAAAATATCTTGTTATCAAGACACGGGTTACAGAATATGTTTGTGTGTGGTTAGACTGGAGCCTGACTGCGCGTTCTCCCGGCATCTCTGGGCATTTTGGAGTATTTATCAGTCTGACCTTGTGCACATCAGCATACTGGGTCAGACTCTATTTTCTATTGTAGATTAAAATAATACAAGCAAAACAATGCTAAACACCTTTACTTGCCAGTTAATATTGCCTAATGTTAGCAGTAGTGGGGTTTGCTGCTGCCTGGAAGCGTTGCCTTTACATTATTTGTCTCCCGGCGGGTTTTGCTGGGTTTCTCTGCTCAGTGGCATTATCGTTACCCTTTCCATTTACCGGATGGAACGATTTTGATGAAATGTTGTTGTACTGGCGTTGGTTTGAACAGACTTGAAATCAGCCTGCTTCCCCAATTTGCCAGTTTTCCAATCAAAAGTAAAACCTGGGACAAAAAAAAAGAAAACCATAAAAATGATGTTACTGTAGACGTATCCTAAACTATGCCGCCAAATAGATCAGTTTTCGCATCCTACAGAGTCTTGAGCAAGTCTCAGTCTCTTCATATATCTAAGTTTAAGCGCGTGCCATAGAGAGGACAAAGGGATGGGATTTACGTAAAGTGGATGACGCGTTTGTACCAGCATTGAGTATTTGTAGCTCTGATGGTAAGTGGAGTTGGTGCTCTTCTGGTTTTGACATTCTCATTGGTATCAGGTTCTTCTTGAGCTGTTTGTCCCAATTCCTGAACGGAGAGCCGAAGTACTGCCGTGTGGGTGTCTGATAACCCCTGACCGCTGAGCATGGGGCGGTGCTTTGCCAACTTCTGCTTCGCTGCGTGGTTGTTTGTTCCAGTTCTTGCGTTACTGAGTATTTACCGACTTTTGCAATAGCTTGCTTTAGTCTTGTGCAGTGAGGGGAGTTGATCTGATTTAATGGAATATGGTTGGTTTGGTTTTTCTTTGCAAAATTGCACACATTTCTAAAAAAAAAAAAAAAACGACCCAAAACAAAAAAAGGTCTGTTTTGCTCCTGTTCAATTCCGAGCTGATGTCTGTGTTCTCCTAAATGAACGGCTTGTCAGACCCCTGAGGACAAGGTTGCTCATTGTCCACAGAATGAGCTCTGTGCCTGGGCTGGGTTGTGTTGTGGAGCTTGCCTCAGATTTAAATCTGGGTTTTCTGTTGTAAGGGTGCTGCTCAGCCTCGTAGAAAACAATTTGGTGTTTGCAGTCTTACCAGATCATGAAGCCGTTCACATTTTTCTTTTTAGATTTTTCTCTGTGCTGCTTCCGTGTCGAAACGCAATAATGTTGGCAAGAGAAAATTGGTAGTTTACGATGTAGTTCCTCTGGAAAAAATAAAGGAATGTGTGATTGCAAGGGCACAGCGTATGAACTCATCCCGGCGACGCTGTCGTGGTGCCTGCGAGCAGGAGGCTGCAGAGGCTGAGCCCACGTCTACACACCAGAGTCTGTCTTCTGACGGATAACCAAGTTTCATGAATTACCTCTTGCTTTGGCTGGGACTTGTTAATTTAATGGATCCAACAAGTTTCAGTCCCCAGCTGGGCAAGGAAGGGGAAAGGCACAAGCGGGTGCCTTGCTGTGGGGGTTGTGTTTCTGCTGCGTGACCCATGGAAGGTGCCCCCCAGCCTGGCTTCTGCTTCCCATCGGTCACAGACCCCCCTCAGCTCACGGGTGCAGCATCACCTCGTTCCTCAGCCCAGTGGGCTGGGAGGTGGGCAGGAGGGTGCTGGGGGCAGGCTGGGGACCCTGGCAGGAGCACGTGGCCCTGGGGACACGCGGGTGGGGGACGGCTCGACACCTTCTGCAGGGGCTGGGACCGCTGCCCAGCCACCCTCGGCAGCAGCCAGGCAGCGCGGAGTCATCCCCTCTGTGCTGCCAGCTTTAAAAAAAAAAAAAAGTGTGCCCTGAGAAGCCGAAGTGTTGGGAAATACTGCGTGATTCTGCAAGGACGACTGCGGGAACGACAGATAATGGTCTGGTGTAAAAATAATGTAAGTAGGTGATTTATATCAAACACTGCATCACATGAAAATCAGATGAACGTAGGACAAAAAAGACCTGCTGGGGTTTTTATATAAGTGATGTAAGGCCTTTGGGGTGTTCTATGTAAGTGATACCACTGGAATTTTAAAAAATACATTATAAAAAAAAGCCTCACCAAAAGAAAAACAAACACACACACACAAAAAAAACCCCCAAACCACCACGGTTTTAAGTGTGAAAAGGGACCTAGCCAGCGGAGATCCTTCAGTAGAGCTCAGCTTATACAGAGGAATTGCTCAGGGCCACGGTGAGTCATTATTTAGGTGTCAGCGATCATGACTTGATTACATTTCTTTCATGGAAATGAGGTGCACGTCAGCATCTAACAAATGCTCTATAAGAGACTTTCATAAAGCTGGAATCAACTGCAGCTGAGTAAATAAAAATATTAATAACGAGGAACCGTTTAAGAATACTTGGCCAAGCGTGCCCGGGATAACAAGGCTTGGAGGGGAAGCCAACCCAGCTGTGCTCATCGAGGGAGGGAGAGAAGACAAAAACTGGTAGCAAGGAATGTAAACTAATGGTTTTGAAGTTATTAGAGAACAATTTTCAGGATGTGGTTTGGCGCGGGGGCAGCAGTTGTGCAACGTGCTGATGGTGAGATGCTTCCCTCCCAGAGATAATCCGAAGGGATGTTGGGTTGCACCTTCTGGGCTTTCAGTCCAAGCTGCTTTTCAAAAGAATTCCAGAATTTGGACGCTTGCTGCTGGTTGTTGCTATGTCTCAGGGCGTTGGAAAGTTCCCAGAGCGCTGGGTGATGATTCCTCTGATCTCATTTCTTCTTTCAAGGTGGAGGGGGGGGAGTGAAGTCAAAGCGGGCAATCCCTGACATGTTGTGTTTACAACATGACTTTGATGGTGGATAAAACAATTGAGCAGTAGATCAGTAAATAAAAAGGTGACTCGTGCCGATCAAACAGGGGCTTTGGGCAGTTTGCTGTGGTCAGACGCGGTTTGTGTCTTTGATTCGATTAATTTTGATTAGTAAGGTGATCTTGTTGGCGTAATGCATTTACTATGAGCGTTGAATAATTTAGAAAACAACGATCAATACGCACAGATACAGCAGATTGGGGAAAAAAAATTGTTTAGCTTTTTGTCCTCAATATAGCTGCGAAAAGGCGGCTGCTGAGCGGGGTGTTTTCAGGCAGAGTCCCGCCAGGAGGGAGCCTGGCTTCTGTGCTCTGAACAGTTGTTTCCATGAGCAGGAGGAAAGCATATAACATCCCTACTGATGGGCTCGACAGGCAAATGAGAAAAATATCAGGGGTTAAAAGGACAGTGTGCAGGGCAGAATGACCCCAAAGAGTGTTTGGAGCTCATGGAGTGCCGTTGGCTGAATGTGTGTTTCCAGGGGGTTGTGTAACCGAGGATGCTAACGGGATCTGAGAGTGCCAGCAGCAGACAGAGGTGCTGGCAGGACCCTCGTAGCATCATAGGATCATGAAGGTTGGAAAAGACCTCAGGGATCGTCAAGCCCAACCGTCAACCCAACCCCACCCAACCCACTAACCCATGTCCCCAAGCACCACATCCACACGTCTCTTGACCCCTCCAGGGATGGTGACCCCACCACTTCCCCGGACAGAAGGCGTTGGAAGTCTAAAGGGCTTGAGAAGGTCAATGAACATGGTCAAAGGACTGGAAATAGAGACGGGAAGGTGTGTACTGTACATTCAAAGACTCAAGTAATGTAACAGAGAGAGGTTAAGGAATGATTTGGTATTTCTAAAAATATCTATCCTGGAGAAATTAAATATAGTCCCAGGGAGCTTCAGCAGGCAGGCTGAGCAAAAGACACAGACCAGAAGCTGAAGCTAGACAAATTCAGAATAATGTTTTTAATAGTGAATGTAAGTAAATAACTATTAGAACAGATTGCCAAAATCAAAACTGGTGGTGGAATTTCTGCCACTGAAACTTTAAAACCTAGAGGAGAGCATTTTTTAATCAAACGAGTTCCAGCCAGCCTTGTGTTCTGTTGGATGGAAGCTGAGTTATTGCGGTGTTTCCTTACGGCTTTATGAGATACGAAAAACAAAAATTTCAATGTAGTCTCAGAGTGGGGAATTTTACAGAATCCCCTGCCTCAGCACCGTACGCGTGCTCTGTCAGGCAATTATGGATTTGCTTTGCTTACATTTCCAAAAATCAGTGGGTGTGTCTGCACCTACCCCTGCTTCTCTTTACCTGCAGCCGTGCTGGGTCGATGATACAAAAATGGAAATCCTCCCTCCTATTTCAGTGCATTCTGCCTCCCTTCCCCTTCTCTCTGCCTGCATCCTCCCCAGGCTGTAGGCTGTGACTCGTGCTCTGCTTTCGTTGTCAGTTCTCCGAATACGATTGCTGGAGACCCCAGGCTCCCCCTTGTTTAAGGGATTACAGTCTGAATGATGGAAAAAATTAATGGTCATTAAAAAAAATTAATAGGCATTTTGTATTTGCTGAAGCAGAGATCGTATCTGGCGTGGGAGAAATAATTTAAAGTTTTCCTCCACTGCGGCGTTATTTCAGGTTATAACACCGTCATTTCCCCAGCTCTGGACCCATCCCATGCACACCCTGCCCTTAAAGCCTTTATTTTAAAATATTGTCAGCGATGGATCCTTTCGGTAGCACAGGAGGGGAGAAATTCAGGTTCTGAACTGAAACATCCACAGCAGCAAAAGCCACCGCTGCCGGTGTCACCCTGCAGGGGACTTTGCCGCGCTCGGGCGTTCTGGTGCTGAGCGCCGTGGTTCTGGCGGCAC